GACTGTTACTCTGGTGAGCAGAGCTCAGCAAAAGTTTAATCCACTTGACTGTTGATGGGTGGGACTGGTTTCCCTCCCTTTTGATTCTTTTGCCTTAGGCAACCCAACACTGGAGCCTACCTGGGCTCTTTGTTGGGGCTTATGACAGACTCTGGGAGGGCTCATGCCAAGGAGTACTTCCCAGAACTTCTACTGCCAGTGTCCTTGTCCCCATGGTGAGCCACAGCTCCCCCCGCCCACCCACCTCTGCAGTAGACCCTCCCACACTAGCAGGTAGGTGTGGTTCCGTCTCCCCTGGGATCACTGCTCCTTCCCCTTGGTCCTGATGTGCACACTACTTTGTGTGTGCCCTCCAAGAGTGGAGTCTCTGTTTACCCCAGTCCTGTCAATATCCTGCAATCAATTCCCACTAGGCTTCAAAGTCTGATTCTCTAGGAATTCCTCCTCCCATTGCCATACCCCCAGGTTGGGAAGCCTGATGTGGGGCTCAGAACCTTCAGTCCAGTGTGTGGACTTCTGTGGTATAAGTGTTCTCCAGTCTGTGAGTCACCCACCCAGTAATTATGGGATTTGATTTTACTATGATTGCGCCTCTCCTACCTTCTAATTGTGGCTTCTCCTTTGTCTTTGGATGTGGGGCATCTTTTTTGGTGAGTTCCAGTGTCTTCCTCTTGATGATTGTCCAGCAGCTAGTTGTGATTCTGGTGTTCTCGCAAGAGGGAGTGGGAGCACATCCTTCTACTCCGCCATCTTGGTTTAAGAGCACGTTCCTCCACTTTTTGTTTTTGATGTCAAGTTTACCTTTCATCTTGTAAGTCCATTAAAATTATTATCATTATAGTCATTTTTAATACTCTTGTCTTTTACCCTTCATTTATAAGTGATTTGACAACCACCATGAAAGAGTAGAGTATTCTAAATTTAACTATATATTTACCTTTACTAATGAAATGTATATTTCCATGTTTTCCTATTCCTAATTAGTATCCTTTCATTTCAGCTTGAAGAATTTCCTTTAACTTATCTTCTAAGACATCTCCAGGTGATGAACTTCTTTATGTTTTGCTTGTCTGGAAAACTCTTAATTCCCTTTCAATTTTGAAGGACAACTTTGCTGGGTAGAGTATTTTTAGTTAGCTTAGGAGTTTTTTTCTTTCAGCTCTTTGAATATATCATCCCAGTCTCTCCCAGCCTACAAAGTTTCTGCTGAAGAATCTGCTGAAATTCTTATGGAGCTTCCTTGTATGTAACAGTTTGTTTTTTCTCTTGCTGCTTTTAAGATTTTCTCCTTGTCTTTAACTTTGACAGTTTAATATTAATGTGTCTCTATGTGGATCTGTTTGGATTCATCTCATCTGGAACCATCCAAGATTCATAGATCTGGATGTCTGTTTCTTTCCCTAGGAGAGGGAATTTTTCAGCCATTATTTCTTTTCTTTTCTTTTTCTTCTTTTTTTTTAAAGTGATCTAGTCCTACTGTTTTCCTTTTTCTTTCTTTCTTTTTTTTTAATTGAAGTATAGAGATTTACAATATTTTGTTAGTTTCAGGTGTAGTCATTATTTCTTTGAATAAGCTTTTTGCCCCTTTCTTCTCTCTTTCTTCTTCTTCAGGACCCATATAATGCAAATATTGATGTGTTTGATGATGTCCCATATGTACCTTACACTATTTTAACTCTTTTTCACTTTTTTCCTTTTTGCTCCTCAGATTTGATGAATTCCACTGCCCTGTCTCCAAGTCCATTGATCCTTTCTTCCACTTGATCTAGTCTTTTGCTGAACCTTCTATTGAATTTTTCAGTTTGGTTATTGTATTCTTCAGCTCTGTGATTTCTGTTTGGTATTCCTTATTTTTCTCTCTCTTTATTGAAATTCTCATTTTGTTAATGTGTTGTTCTCCTGACTGTGGTGAGCAAATTTATGATGGTACTTTGAACTCTTTATCAGGTAAATCAGTTATCTTCATTTCATTAAAGTATGTTTCTGAAGTTTTATCTTGTTCTTTTGTTTGGAACTTATTTTTTTGTTTCTTCATTTTCTCGGATTCTCTGTGTTGGTTTCTGTGAATTAGATGAAACAGCCACTTCTTCCATTCTTGAAGAATGGTCTCATGTGGGATATGAAGCTTATCATTCAGCCCAGCCCTAGCTCTTAGTTGTATCTCAAACCTTTGTGATTGTCCAAGCCTCCTCCTTTTTTTTAGTGGCTCCCAGTAGTTGATGGTATGCTAATACCTGTTAGTGTCCCAAAGGGGAAGATCTCAGTCAACACCTAGATGCAGGCTAATTAGAAACCAAACTCTCAGGGAGCAGCTTTTGAAATATGCAAATAAACAGGGAGAATGCTGAGATGGAATCTATTGGCTTCCCTGATCTCCAGGGAGGATTGCATTCTGTCCCTAGAGCTAAATTAGAAGCATGACCCTCAGGCAGCAACTTTTAAAGTATTCAAATAGACCTCTTTCAGGGAAAGGCTGGGAGATGGGCATTTTCCTCTGTACTAAGCTATAGGTAGAGAACCAAAGTGAGTCCTCTTGAATCCATTAGGAACTGTTTCTTTGTTGGCTGTAGTGTTGTATATCTCGTGGACACAGCCCTGTTGGCTTTCAGGGCTAGATGTTTTGGAGGTTTGAGCCTTGGATGGAAGTCTTAAAAGTTGGGGTACTAGATGTTGGGTCAAAACCCTTTTCTCCTAAAGGAGAAATTGGGAGTTGGGAGTTCCTTCCCTATTGTATGTCACTGTGATGGGGTGGGTTTTATGGCAGGAGTGTGTCTCAGTCTCTCTTATTCATTTCAATGTGGGTTTTTTTGCTGTTCCTCCAACGTGTAGGAGTCACTCAGCTGGATTTTTCATAGGGAATTGTTTCATGTACAGCTGTAGATTCGATGTATCTATGGGAGGAGGTTAATTTAGGAACTTCCTATGTTACCATCTTGGACCACAACCCAGTAAGGTTTATACTCAGTGGTTTCAATGCAGGATTAATTCTATCACTGTCTGCCTCTAGGCTTGGCAGGATAATTAAATGAGGTAATGAAATGAGTATAAAGCATTTTGAAAAGAATGGGGCCTTATATAAATATAAGGAAAAGTTACTTTGGCATGCCTGAATAAGAGTGAATTCCAGAATGGGCAAGAAGAGTATGCAGTATGGCTCATCTCTTCTCACTGCATGGCAAAGCATATACAAATCTCCCCCTTGCTCATGAAGCTGCAAATAAAGCTGATTTACTTGAAACATTCTATTGTAGGCCAGGTGCCTTGGAAGTCCCAGTATTTGTTGCCAGCTTCTTTTTGAGACATAGCAAGGTGACTGGTTTATATTTCCAGTTGTTCTAGCTGCCAAATGTCTCAGAAAGCCAAAACAAAACAACTTTCTTCAGCAACACACAGAGAAGTTGCCTTTCTCCTCCCTCCCCGTTCTTTCATTTTAATCTTTTGTAATGTGTGGTTTCCAGATTCCAAAAGTGTAAATGAAATATGTATGTTTTATGGTTTTTATTCTCCAGGGCAAATTGGAAAAAGAAACCATAATGCCTTTTAATCTTCTTTAAACCTTCCTTTTACAAATAATTTATTTCCAAATATCGGTGTTCTTTGCATGATTCGCTTGGGGTGGAGTGGGATAGAAACAGGATTCATATCAACATATTGCATACAATGCTTTTTTCCTAAAGTACAGCGTAATCAAAGTAGATAGTTTCGCGGGATTTTTGTGATCATATGATGGGGATAAAACGCTGCAAAAGTACCTTAGACATTTGGGGAGAAGTGGTTGTTACATTTGGGAGAAAAATACCTCAAAGAAATAAAAGGATCTCAGAGGTGTTTCATTTTCCTACTCCTAAGAAATACATTTCCTCAAGCAGGTAGAAGAAGAACCAAATTGAATTGTACTTTCATCATGATATAAATTGTTCAAACAACTGGGAAATATAACTTTTAAATACTAAATGGAATTTGACCCTTGTTAAATATGTAGATTTGAATATTTAACATCACATTTTCCTTGTAAGTTATTTCTTTTATGTATTCTTTACCATCTCAAGTTAGTGTGCTGATTTCCCCTGTGTAGTTTCACGAGACAATGTTTTCATTCACTAACAACATTTCATAATGCATTAATAACATCAACACAGCCAGATTTCCCTGCGTGCCAGCTTCAGTGTTATAAAAGATGTAGGGACATTTGTTAAACCCAGGTAAATATTAAATATCATTTGGGGATGGGGGAGTAACAATGTCATTTGCCACCAGCCCTAAGTTCCTTTGAGATGTATAAAAATGCATATGACTCGTTCAGTCTATTAAGCAGTTGCTAGTTCAGCTGTAGTTCATATGCTGGTTTTCAGACACAGTTGGAGTGCAGTGGTGGAGACATATGCATGTGTGAAAATTCCAGGTATGAGTTTGGGGGATGCCATTTAAATTTTTTTGAATTTAATTTAAACATTGATCTCCAAGATGTATAAATGTTATTAAATTTTGGAAAGCTGATTACAAATATAGCAAAGCATGAAGGAAAATAGTATGTGGATTTTAAAGGATTTTTTAAATTAAATTATATCTTACATGAAATAAATTGATCATTAATTTTGTCTGGAATTTTACTTGGTCCAATAATCAGCTATTGATTTGCAGTTGTTCTTGATTGTTTTATCATGTGACATTCTGAACTGTTTTATAAAGAATTGTTTTGAAGTTTACATATTACAACTCCTTCAACTAGGGAAGCTATTTCTTAATATTCTAGCCCAAAAGGAAGAAAATATTCTTTTTCCTTATACTATTCTGAAACATGAAAAATATACTGAAGATTTTTTTTCTTTACAGGAAAACAAAGTTTTAAAAAGTTTTAAAAGAAAAAGAGATTTTATAAAAATAAATTTACCCTCTGTGTTTTCTTACTCTAGATAAGTGTATAAAAGTGTATGAAACCATGGAAAACAAAAAAAAAACCCTTAATATTAATTGCTAGTGTTTTTTTCTTTTTCTTTCAGCTCTCAGGAGAAGTGATTTTACAAATTGCCAACGAACCAGTTCTGCCCTTTAATGCTCTCGATATAGCTTTAGAAGTTCAAAACAGCCTTAAAGGTAATTTTTCTTTGAATTATAGTAATTTTAGCAAATGAATAATTCTTCAACTAATTGTGAACAAGGAATAGATAAAGTTATCCACTATCTTACTAGCTATGGCAATGTAGCATTTCCCTTCCTATAGAGGACAATCATGAGAAGGGCTTAGAAGAATGTGGGCTACCATGTCAACAAGAATGAGGTATACCTAATATTCAGTTATTTGAAACAAGACTGGCCCAGAAGTTTGTCCTTTGGGATTGGTTTCCATGAAGTATGGGCTGGGTCCATTTGACTGAAGTGTTGGCTCATCCTAGATTAAGGATGACAAAGAAGAAACCAGGAAATTATTTCCACAGTCTCTATAAGTTCCTTCCTGTTTAAATCTCTCTCTCTCTCTCTACAGAATTCTAACACCACCTAATAATTATCCTTATTTTCCCTTTATCTATATACAAATCTTTCACTTAAACTTCTAGTTTGTCACCATTCACCAAACACAAAGGGCAGTATTGTAATTAAATAAATGCACCCTCCTTCTCTTCTTTGAGCCACACATCTTACTATCAGATCATTTGAAGACATGTATTTCTCAATATAAAAGCCAATATTTTCACTATAGAACTTAAGCAGTAAATCTTGGAAAATGGATCACTCTAAAGAGCCAAATATTTCTAGTATCTGAAACTTTATTACTTTTATTTTAAAATTTTGACTACCTGGGTTGATTCTTAATCCAGAGACTACTACAAAACAATATTTTTCTCCCTCAGTGATTCTTATTACTTTTATTATAGTGACTGTGTAAAACCATGACCTTGGGCACAATTGAGCTGTTTAGGGCTATTTTGCGCCCATACTAAATGGCCTCATATTGCTCTGCTTTTGGTATATTTAAGCTAGTCTCTATTTTTTCTACTTTTGTCAAGCTTCTTCTTTTTATTGTCATGAGTGTCACTATCTGTAGCAGTTACTCTGTTCTCCACTTATAATTTTCTATTCCTAGAATATTTCTTAGAAACTGAGTAATCAAATATATGGTATTTTACAAAATAAGAACAATATGGGCATAAATAAAGGGTTAAAGACTTCTGTGAATAATATATTTTTTGCAAGGATTTCTTTTAAGCAACTGTTTTATTTTTTCTGTAGACTGTTTTGCTTTTCTTTAGTTCTCATTTTTTCACTTTAAAAATTCAGTTGCTACAGCATATTATACTTAAAACTTTCAAAGAACAAAAAGAGGAGACTATTATTTGTATTACATAAAGATTTGTTCATCTATAAAGAATAATTCTCATGCATAGAAAGGAGCCTCAAGGAGTATACTGTGAAATAGAAACATTATACAATAGAATTATGAATGATTTACAAGTTGCTTTTCTGAGTTCAAATCTACATAAATGTTTAATACCATTGTAATAAAGATATGAAGAGATATTTTAAAAATTAAACAAAGCCAGCAAAAACAATAACAATACTGTCATTTTAAATTCCAAATTCTATTTTCTTTTTAAATAATTGGGTTTATTTTTTGAATCCATAAGTAATATTATAGCATTATCATTCCTATATGAGCATTTTAAGTAATGTAGGCTACTTCTGAAGGTCAGAAAAAAGTCCTAAAGGGTCATTGTTAGAATTATTTTATTACTCTGTTTCTTTGTGGGTAGTTAGAAATCCTTTTGAATATCCAAAGAAAAGTATGGTCTCTCCAGAAAATTACACTTGTACAAAAAGCTTTGCATATAACCCCCATAGACTTTACAGGATCTCTTGAACCCATTTACTCAGTCATTTAACAAATATTGAGCACCTACTGTATGCCTGGTACACTTATATGACCAAAAAAACAAAAACATAAAACCCAGCCACTAAATAAACAAATAAAACAAAATTAAAATCTCTTCTCCTGAGAAACATACATGCATGGTAGAACAAAATTTGCATAAGTCAAAGCAATTTTTAAGTTAGCTTTATGCTCAAACTGTTCCCTAATATCAATCACTTTGGAGTAAATTTGAATTTTCAAAATAAGTGTTAAAGAGCAGAACTGACTGTGGTTGTATCCAGAGGAGAAATTTCGTGTGGGAATATAAATTTGAGAGCTGTCCCAAATGAGATTTCTGAGGGGTTGAGTGCGGATAGAGGACAGAAAAGGTTTAAGATTTCTGGGCACTCCTGAATTTAGAAATTGGGAAAAGGGGAATCAGAGGAGGAGACTGAGAAGGAGCAGACAAAGAGTAAGAGACAAACTCGGTGAATGTGATAACCTGAAGCCAAGTGAATAAACGCTTTCAAAGAGGAAGGAGTGACTCACTCCGTCAAATACCGCCACAGGTTAAGAAAAATTAGGACTGAGAATTGACTGCTGGATTTAGCAATTTGGAAGTCATTGGTGAGCTCAACAAAAACAATTTTAGTAGAATGGTATATGAAACAGTATGATTAGAGGGGTTCAAAAGAGAATGGGAGGTGATAAATTGGGGACAGGTGATGGTAGATGGAAAGCATGGAGTTGAGAATGGTTAGCATGTTTTTATTTTGAGAATGATCGGATGGAGAGTGAAGATTTGATTTAGAAGAGTGAAAGGAGAATTGCTGGAATGATTTCTTTGACTAGAAGCTGCATAAGGTGGAGGACGTTGCCTTAGTTATGAATGCGGTTGTCCACCCATAAAAATGTGAAGGAAGGCAGAGCATATGGCACATGGGTAGATGTGGTGTTGGGAGCTCTTCGCAAGTCTCCTTAGATTGTAAAACACAATAAAATAGTTGTTTGAGAAGGTGGTAGAGTGAATGAACTATGAAAATGGGATTAGTCTTTTGGGCAACGTTAAGCACTCAAAAGAAATATATTTTACATGAGATAATTCAACATAATTGTGTACCTTTTTCCAGCTTTCAGCTCGGGATTCAGGCATAAAGCAGGCAGAGTTGGATTTAATCAGAGCTAGGGTTTTGCTGGGAGAGGGTAATGAACTAGATAAGGTAAGGAAAAATGAGAGTGTCTGCAAAGGAGCATTCATAGCGATGGACTGATGTATCTAAACTGGGTATAGAATAACGCGAGGATGCAAAGGGAAAGAGGGTGAACATGAATAAAAGAGGATGGATAGACTTTATTTATTGGCGAAATCAAAGAATTAAGAAAAAATAAGCTGAAAAGATAAGCAAATGGGATTACTGAAAATTTGACCATGTAAAGAGTGCAGATATTGGTAATGACAGTGTACGGGCTGAGGTATGACCATGGAAGTATGGTAGCTGATCAATAGAGGAAAAGAGGCTATGGAGAAGAGAGGCCAGACTATGTCTACATGGATATTGATATTGTCAAGAACTAAGATAGGAGTAATTTTTTTAAGAGAAAGTGACTGAGCCAGGAGCTAAAATCTTCAGAGAATGAGCAGCAACTTAGAGACACCTCATATTGTTCTTCTATGGCTAGTGGTACAAAGGGCGTGGGAGAAAAAAGAGCTACCGCCTGAGAGGGCTGCAGTGGGAGAAATGTCAACAGGGGAGAGCCAGGTTTCAGCTAAGGCAAAAAGGTAAAGAAAACGGTCTGAAAATAGATGAGATTAATAATCCTTTCTTTAACAGTTATATCTCAAAGCATGTAATTACAGGGGGAAAAAAACAAACCTCAGTCGTTCTACAATGATTTCCACTGCAGGCCAGACATGGCAAAGTCTAGATGAACCTCTCCCCAAAATCCCAGTTCTCAGTTGGATGAGCCAGGAGCATTTTGGCTTCTTGCTGTTATATTGGACCATTTCTTCTTTAGTTGTTAGTTATTTTTGAGTTTTGTTTCTTTTGATGTGAAACTACTTGGGTCTTCCTGTCACTTTCACTCAAAGATGTGGCCAGACTTGAGATGTACCCATACTAAAAAGACAAAGCAAAACAAAAAAAAAGTAACCCCCAAAATGGGCAAAAATTATTCTTTTACCATGACCTACATATAAGTATTTGATCAAGGGGATATGAGTTGTCACCTTTAAGCTATACATTTTTGTATTTTAGTTATCATGATTCAAAATTATTTGAATTATCTGTACTATAGTAAAAGGTTATTCAAATATTTGCTAAATTGTAGGCGATTTATTTTACCTGTTCTATTTTGGTTTTAACCTTATTTTTAAAATAGAATACTTTAATGTTCTAATGTGTAAATAATGGACACCACTTATCAACAACTAAATAAATATTTCAGTTTCAGTTTTAACTACAATGCTAGACGACTTCATTAGCTAAATAGTGTTCCTGTAGCATGTTAAATGAAACATATAATTTTACTGCTTAATACAAGCTTTAATTGTTGATATATTTTCTTATTTTGCTATGGCAGTTAATGGTGATTAGTCTTAAATTCTCAATTACAGTTTAAAAAGAAAGACCTTCAAGGCTGAACTATAAAATACTGTTTCTCCTTACTGCAGAGAGTATAAGTATGAAGGTCTCTGAAATCCAATTGCATTTTCAACAGTGTAATTTTTACCCCTTGACAACCAGCCATCTTGTTTATTTATTACACAGTTTATGGTAGCAGCAGACCATTCTCTATCATTCTCACAACCACCAGAAAAAAGAATAATTTACCAGTGAATAATTTGTTTGAGTTGATTTATTGGTTGGTTCCTGAAAGCTCATTTTGACTGAGTGACCTTGGCTCTTAATATTTGGTCAATGCCAAGCACATAATAGTTAGAGAATGAATATTTATACATGGTGCATGGGAATATAGTGTAAATAGTGACTGATAAGATAACTGACATGCTTCAGATGTATTTGTGACAAATAAAAGTATGTCCAAAAAACGCACATACAAGGCAATGGTACGAGTTTATGGGGGCAAGGGAAGGTGTCAAGAATAAGTATCACCACACCCTTGAACCTGGAAGCTGACTAAGGAGTGAGAACTAATGACCTTACTAAGTTTACTGTTTCTCACTTTATCCACTTTTCAATGCAAAAATAGCATTTCAAAATAATTAACAACTATATAATTCTGATGC